ATATGTAGAAACAAGAAACTCATTACCAAACAAAAATGAATTTTATTTTACATATAATATTTGGATAAATTATTTGACTTAATGTTGAAACTATTCATAGGTTGGGAGAAAAGAGAATTCTAAGAACTGTTTAAAAGTTAAAAGAATATGTCAGGTAGGCCCCAAAATTCAAATTTAGGTATCACGGACACAATGGAGTGATGTCAACGATAAACAGACAATGAAATTTTGCCTCATGCGGCCACATGGCTGTAACTTGAGGGTACTATGTTAAGGAAAGTAAGTCAGGAGAAAGACAAATACTGGATTTTTTTCACTCGTGTGGAATACGGAGAAATAAAGTGAAGGAACAGAGAAAATGAAACCAGAACAAATCCTAGAAATCTGATGGTAGACTTATGCTGCCAGATGGGGGTGTGGGGATGGGAGATAAATGGGGAGGGGGTCCAAAGGACTCTGGTGGAGGATGATGGTGGGTGTGACAGGGTGACACACATCTGAAGCCGTCTAAGCCTGAACCTGGTTCATATAGTGTCGCAATGAATATTACCTTAATAAAGAAACACTACATCCACCCCCACCCCATACACACAGATTTAATGAAAATTACCCGGGATTTAATGGCTGCAGAGTCCTACATTCATTTCTACTCTTATTTCTTCATAAATTCACCCTGCACAGAACTTGGAAAGCTGGCTCCTTTCTCAATTCACTGGATGGTCTTGTTGAATCAACCTAACGACAGAGGACAATGGTGGCTGGGGGTCTCTAACAGGTTTCTAGAAGCTTTCCCTTCAGAAAGTTGCTGTGTCTCAGTGTAAGGACAGGTCCCTGCAACCACCTCACCGGCTGCCCAAGATGGAGCGCAAGTGTGGAAGAGAGCAAGCCAGGAGGCCCGGGAAAGTGACAGGGGAGTCCTGAGACACCACTTGGTGCCTGAATACACCTTAACTCTGAAGATTCTGTGGGGTAAAATTTCCTTTCCTACCGTGAGTTGGGATTTTTTGTTACTTAAAGCCAAAGATATCCTGAGGATATTTAATGTGTTCTACTTCAAATGCAGATTTAAAAAATAAAGCCAACTTTACTACTTGATCTACTTTTCAAAAATTCACTATGAGGCCTATTTTCCAAATAAAATACAAGCAAGCTCATACTGATTCTCTTTTGTTGGCAAACTTTCCTTCAGCGATTAAATTCAGAAGTGCATTTAAAATAGTCCATTATTCCTCAGGGACTTGATATGAGTGGTTCTTCTCAACCATGGCCCCCAAATTATGAGTAACTTTAAAAACAAGTATTAGTTCATATGGAAGTTGGCCTTTTAAAACATGAAATATGAGTATCTTTACTTAAAAATGTAAGCTGTTTTTCAGTTGGTTCCTTAGAGAATTAAATCTTTTGACAACTAGATGTAGTTTAAAAAGTAAAGAAATAAAAATCATTTTCAGACATGGTTTCATCATTGAAAGATTAACTTTATTTGATCTTTTCTCAATGGATTCATAGAAATATTGAGAACATGAAAATACCAAGTACAAATTTCCACTTACAATGTAAAAGCGAAAACATTAAAAGGCACACAGTTAGATGGCTGGACATGCAGACACCTAATCAGCAAACTTGACAATGTGTGGGGGGACAGCAGAAGCACTCATTCGTTCAAGGCCTCTCCATCAATTAGCTTTTACTGGAATGTTTATCAGAAAAGTGATTGTTCTTATTTATCAAGGCACTTGGGCATAAAAGATTAAATTTTCTTGACAGAATGAAACTTACTACCAATGAGGATGACATGATGTTATCGCAAAAAAAAAAAAAAAAAAATTAGAATGAGCAAATTTAAGGGATCAAGAAAAAAATTTAAGGGATCAAGAAAATCCACAGACTCATATACTTGGTAAACGGAAATAGCCATTTCTTAAGGTAGATATTAAAATAATCAATTTCTACTAAAATAGTATCATGAAGCTATAGCTGCAACTCACCTAGATACCCAATATTGTCCTGTTAATTCCTTGTCCCTGGTTAAGAGCAAACTCGAATCCCTGATAATATCTTAATCATCCATGTAGACGTTATGAAATATTTTCACATATCTGAGCGTTTTGATAGACTAGATTATCCACAATCGAATGTCAAAGCTACAACACCGACAGCACCACCCTGTCCTGTCACCCTCCACCCTTTCTTCAGAACTGTTTTTGAGGTAAATACTTCTTCACACAGTGTTTCAGAGAGCCAATGAATCCGATTTGGCAGCTGAGTTTCACAGATTCTAGAGTTGATCAGCTTTTACTTACACATGTTAATAAAGATTGAAAAGCAAGATGCTTTTAAAAAATTTCCTATAGGCTCTGGATAAGATGCTTACAGACACACATTTTGTTTAGACAGTAATGTACTGAGAATATGAAACATAAGTAACAGAAGAGAATATGGATGAGTTGTGTGTCTGTGCGTGTTCAAAGGTTCTGAAGCACAAATATCAAAACTAGATTAACGACTTAAATTTTTAGTTTGAAAAAGTTAACTTTGGAACAACCTTCAAAACTATGAAGAAGGACTTCACATGACAAACCACCTTTGCTCTTGGACCAGGCCTTGGAGAGGCTCAGGGCGGACAGACTTCAGTGGCACCCTCAGGTGTGGGCTGCCCCCACCACCAAGCCGAGACAGGAGATGAGCAGGAGGCGGCCACCAGGCCTGGTGTTCTGTGTCCACCTGTTCAGAGTGAGATACATGCTCTAAATTTTACTCCTGCTCCCAAATCTCGTGAAAATGTGTCGTGCAGCTTTATACACACACACACACACACACACAGTTACAACACAAGAGGAAAAGTCTAAATTTTTGTCCTTAATATGTGAAGAAACCTGGCATCCATATAAGGTAAAAGACACCCTGTAAGAAATCAGAACATAATCATGAAATCTGAGCTCACAAAACATAAAAATACCAATGGCCAATAAATACAAGAAACGTTGTTCAACTTTTGTAGCAATACAAATGTAAGATGAAGTAACCATGAAAAGTAATGGGTTTCACCCAAAACCCTTGTTCTTGGCGTATGCGAAGCTGGCTAGTCCTCCAAACTGATACCACAGGTATCAGCAGTGTAAAGAGTTACAAGTTCCCTGCACAGTATTGGGGCAATATTGACACAACTGATCAAAATGATGTGTAAAAGTGTGGTCCCTTTAAACATCAATTAATTCCATGTCTATCCACTCTTCTAAGAGAGTGATTGAATATATATGCATATGAGAATTTGCAAGGATGTTTATCTCCAAGTTGTTCACGATGTGGAAAAAGGGAAGAAATGATCTAGCAGCATATACATACAGATACATAGACATATTTATCCAGAGGAAATTTGTTATATTATGCTACAAACACTGTCCAAAAGATAAAAGTTAACAAAATTATGTGAAAATATATTAGTGGACATGGAAGTTGAGTATGGCTTATTTTAAAATCAATAAGGCAATCAAGCAAGGCATGATATGATTCTATTTCCTTTAAATCATCTATGTGCATATGTCCAAAAATATCATAAAAGGCTACGCAAAACATTTCAACACTTATCTACATAACAGGATAATGCGTCACTGTAATATTTTCATTGTCCATCATTTTTCAACTAAGATTTTAACTTACAAAATGTGTGATGAATACAATTTATACAAATATAAATGGAAACATTTTCTCTTTCTTTTATAACTAATGCACAGTCAAAAAAATATTTCAATATTTCTGTTGTACTGGGATGTAGAAAATATAAGATTGACTATACGGTGACAAGAGTTATCTAAAGCAGAGTAGAAAATAAAATAGCAAAACTATTTTGTAGATACCTTTGGTATGAGTGAATCAGAATTTTAAAAGTAATTATTTAAATGTAAATAGAGCACTCCTGCCTTAATTTCCAAAGAGAATTTCAAACTGTGAAACTTAAAAAGTCAATATAATAAAGCCCTTTAAAAAAAAAAAAGTATAAAATGAAATTATATAGAAAAAGGCAGGAGGGGAGGAACAATCTAGGAATAGGACAGAAATAAAAAGTATGGCAGACAACAGGCAAAGATGCAACTTCAGTTCATCAGAAAATCGTGAGTTTCTGACCCATCAAGGCTGAAAGCGACCCTGCTTGGTGAGAGGCTCTCCAGGCCTACGCCATGAGCGGCGCGTTCATACAGGTACCGGGAGTTCGCTCTTCTGAAACCTGAGACAACATCACTGCGCGGAACACCACCAGGGAGAGAGCAACAGGCTGCGGGACAGGGCGGCCGCTCTGCGTTCTACACACACGCGTGATAACGCGGCATCCAGGGAGAGCGCGGGTCTGCAGCGGGGGCACCACACGGAGCCGCGCGGTGCGAAGCGATCGCAGGCCCGGCCGCCCTCCGCCGCCCGAGCGGACGGGCCTGCAGCGCCGGGACCTCGGCCAGGGGGCCCGACGCGAGTCGCCGTCGTCGAGGGCCCGGCAAGGCCGACGTCAGCGGAACGGGGAGGAGAGCGCGACGCCCCAGAGGCAGGTCCGCGGGTGGCCGTGGAAAGCGCCGTCGTTCCTCCCGGGCAGGCGGCCCGCGCTCCGCGGCGCAGCACCCGCGTCGAGCTGCACGTTGAGAGGCAACGCGGCGTCCACGGGCGTTTCCGGCGTCCGCGCACATGCAGGGACACCCCGGACGGGCATCAGCAACGTTTAAATCAAAGAGAACTGAGGCGAGAACGGAGAACCTTGTGCGTGAAGCCCACGCGGCGGCGCCCGTCTTCGCGCCGTCGCCCTCGCCTCGGGCCGTCGTGCGGCTTCGCGGGCTCCGGGTGAGGAAACGCGCCTCGCGGTGTCTCTCGCCGCGGACGCCGGAGTCAGGGCCGCGCGCCGCCCGCCAGGCAGCGCCGAGGGAGAGGGAGGGAGGCCGGGCCGCGCGCGCGCGCGACGCCTCCTGCCCGCGGGACCCGAGTCGCGGCGCCCAGGCCGGGCCGGGCCGGGGGGCCCGCTAGGGCCGCTGCGCCAGCGCGATGCTGAGCGGCCGGGAGCCGAGCAGGCGGCCGTTGAGCGCGGCCATGGCGCGGGCGGCGTCCTCGGGCGCGCAGAAGCAGACCAGGCCGAAGCCCTGCTGCGCCCGTCCTCGCGCATGACCGTGGCGCGGCGGACGGCGCCGAAGGCCGCGAACTCGCGCCGCAGCCGCTCGTCGTCCACGGCGGCGTCCAGGTTGCGCACGTAGAGCGCGTCGCCCCACGCGCGCCAGGGCCGCTCCCGCCGCCGCTCGAAGGCCTGGCGCAGCTCGGCCCGCCGCTCCGCCGGGCGCTGCGCGCGGCCACGACCAGCCGCCGGCCGCCGAGCGCCTGGCCGTGCATGGCCGCCACCGCGCGCCGCGCCGCCTCGGGGCAGTCGAAGCGCACGAAGCCGAAGCCGCGCGAGCGGCCGCGGGCGTCTCGCACCACCTGCGCGCTGCGCGGCCGGCCGAAGGCGCCGAAGGCCTGCGCGAGGCGCGCGTCGTCCACCGCGGCGCCCAGGTTGCGCACGCACACGTCGGTGAAGTCGCGCGCGCCCGGCAGCTCGGCCGCGCGCGCCTGGCGCGGCTGGAAGCGGCCCACGAAGAGGCGGCAGCCGTGCAGGCGCGCGCCGTGCATCTCGGCGATGGCGCGCTCGGCCGCGCGCGGGCTCTGGAAGTGCACGAAGGCGAAGCCGCGCGCGCCGCGCTCGTCGCGCACCACCTTGGCCGACAGGATGCGGCCGAAGGCGGAGAAGCGCGCGTGCAGCGCCTTGCCGTCCACCGAGCGCGCCAGGTTCTTGATGAACACGTTGCCCTCGCCCGAGCGGCGCAGGCGCGCGTCGCGCTGGGCCCACATGAGGCGCATGGCGCGGCCGCGCAGCTCGTCGAAGTTCATGGTGTCCAGCGCCGCCTGCGCGTCGGCCGCGCGCAGGAAGTTGACGTAGGCGTAGCCCAGCGAGCGGCGCGTGGCCAGGTCGCGGCACACGCGGATGGACAGCACGGGCCCCGCGGCGCTGAACTTGCGGAACAGCAGGTCCTCCGTCACGTCGGCGTGCAGGTCGCCCACGTACAGCGAGGCCTGCCGGTACTTGGGCGGCACCTGCATCTCCGCGGCGCCGCCGGCCGGGCCGGGCCCGGGTCACGCCGCGAGGGGCTCAGGCCGGGCCGCGGGGGGGGGGGGCGCGAGCGGGCCCCGCGCCGAGCAGGCTGCGCCCCCGCGGGCCGCGGCGGCCGCCGGAGGGAGCGCTGGGCCGGTCCTCGCCTCGGCGGCCTGCGGGCGGCGGGGGGCGGGCGCGCGGCCCGGGAGAGACGCGGGGCCGGCCGCCCGGGCCCGGGCCGGGAGCGCAGGCCGCGGGTCACCGGCGCGGGGCGGCGCCCGCAGCCCGGGGCCGCCTGCTCTCCGGTGCTCGCCGAGCCGCGGCCTCCCCCGCCGCCGGGAGCTGGAGGCGGCGACCGGGAGGAGAGCGGCGGCCGAGGGGAGGGGAGGGGCCGCGCGAACCCCAGCGCCCGGCCGGCCCGGCCCGCCTCCCCGGCCCCCCGCAGCAGCCGCCCCGCCCCCGGCCGGGCCCCCCCCCCGCCCGGCGCCCTGGCCCTTTCCTGCAGCGCCGACTGTGTCGCACGAACAAAGCGTTGCCAAGAAAACCCTCCCGGGCGTCCTTCCCGAGCAGCTTCTCCTCAGCGTCGCTGGAAGCCGAGGCCCCCGGGCCGGCTCGGGCGCCCGGCGCGCGGCGCTCAGGCCTCGGGCCTCAGGAACTGGCCGCGCCGCTGGCCGAGGAGCTGCCTCCGCCGCGGGGGAGGGACCGACCCTCCGAGGTCGCGCTCAGGCCCAGGGACGCGCGCCCTCCCGGCCGCGTCGGGCTGGACGGCAGCGAGGACCCGGCGGCCTGACGCGGCCTCTGGCGCCCAGGAGCCCGGGACACAGACCCCTTCCTCCCGCTGGACGCGGATTCCCTCACATTATGCCCGCGACACCTGTCAGTGGCGTTCACGATGCCCCGAGGCGGTTATAACGCGTCTTCTGTTCCCTGAAAGCTGAACATGGGATCAGTTTGGGTCTTTTTAAAAACACCTTTCCTGAGATGAGCCAACCCCTAGCTTCGTCTACTCTGTAACTTTTGCTCAGCCGTCTGACTCTCTCTCTCTCTGAGGCAATTTACTGAATGTGGGCCTTGCATAGAGGGGCTTCATTTGGCATGAGCTCCCAGGAGTTGCTAGATCGTGACTTAAACTTGCCAGTGCCACCAGGTGACTGCGGCGCGGGGCTTAGCCAGCTGTCGCCGCTCTGTGCACTGCTGACTTCTCTGTTTTCTTCCTAGGAATATTAGGAATTTTAATATGATCTTAATACTGCAACTCTCTTGAAAGTATTTCAATTAAATGGCAATATTTTGCCTCCCGGTGAAATAAGCTGTGATTTTATTTGCTTAGGAGATTTAACCCAATTGTCCTTCCATGGACAGCCTGTCACATGGGGGCCGAGCAGTAAGAGGGACTGAGATGCTGCTTATCTGAACGGCAGGAAACCCTCGGCCTGTGGTCACGGATACGGATGTCAACAGAGGTCATTGCTTACCTTGGTATTTATTACGGAGATAGGAATAAACAGTTACTGTGTGTCCGCAAATGCATTTTAAAATAAAAATTGGTTTTACTAATTAGACTGAAGTAGTGTCTGACATCGTCCACTTTCATCAATGGGCTAATGGAGTCAACTAGTAATAAAATCACCCTTGTTTTTGTTCAAGATGGTTGTTAGTACCTTAAAGGAAAGTCACTGTGAGAATGAAACTTGTTTTTATTTTGAAACTGTCATGTTCATTTAATTACTCCAAAATATAATATTCATCTCCAAGATTATTTGATTCAATTTTTACTATGACAAGCCTTTTTCTAATTATGTTTTTCTATTTTTAATCCAAATTTATTGTAAATTCTTTAGAATGAGGTTTATGATTTATATTTCAGAGTTAATAACCCTTCTTCATCAGAGCACAAAGAAAGGTCTCACTAAGTAACATTTGATTATTAGTAGATCTTGATTTAAAAGTTCAACTCAATCCAAAATACCATTTACTAGTGAAAATATCAGGCGTTATCAAAACATGATGTAAGACACATCTTTCCTCAAAGGTCTCATGGCTCTTAATAGAAAAAGAATCAAAACAACAATTTCAGAAGAATATAAAACTGATTCTGAAAGCAGAAACTTAGCACAGGAGAGACAGGAGTTACTCTCCTGCTATAGTCAAGCAGGCCTTGGCAGGGAAGGCGGTGCCCAGGAAGGCCTGGTGCTGTTTTCTGAGCTCCTGTAAACTGGGGCATCAGTAATGGTGGCACCAGCCGGTGTTTATCTATACTGCTGGCGTGCAAAGTGCAAAGAGGAAGCAGCAGGATGGGTCCAGAGAAGACAGGGCCACTGAGAACGCTGTACTCACTAGTCGAGGGTGTTTCATTCTAGATGGAACTGCTGGGATCATTGATCTGAGAAGCAGCACCTGTATCTCCCCTTCCAGAAGGCAGTGGGAGATACGCACACGTGATCACGGAAGCAGGCGATCGGGAAGCAGGACAGCCGCTGTGCACACCCGTGGGCAGGGCGGCGGTACTTCCTGGCACTGCGGCAGGCAGGGGTGACCTGCAGTCCATCACCAGCTATTCAGAGAATGGCAGTGCGATTTGAAATAAAAAATATTACACTAATAAAACCAAACTGGCTTCTGCAGCCTACTTGAGTTGCTCTGAGGTAGCCAACTCTTAGTAAATGTGTTCCAGACATTGGGAAAATGATGCTTCCTAAGACATCTATGGCGGAGGGGAAGGTTTGTTCAAGTTCCACTCTGCTGGTCCTGGGATGGTACCAGAGGTCTTCCCCTGGGCCCCTCTGTCTTTCCTACTTGGCTGGTACACTCTCCCTGCTCCCAAGCCCTGACGTCTTCATACTGGCTGCCCAGCGTTGCCAAAATCAGGGGAACTGTTCCCCTTGTATTCTCAGTAACTTCAGAGTTAGTTCCTACAAAACCACCACACGTCCCCATCGCCACTGCCGGTCAGCGCCCAGAACACAGATCCCCTGGTACTGCCGCACCCTAAGCCTCCACCTCCCGGGGAACAGGGGAGTGAAGAGGTCAGAGGGGCCCTTTCTTGGCCGGCCTCTTTCCTTACTGCACGCCGCGTGCCACTCACTGCCCGTGGAGTCTGTTTGCTCTCACCTGAAGAAGGGAGGGGTCTAGCCCTCGGGCTTCACGCTGGGAGGCCCCAGCACCTGCCCTGGACGCGCCCATCATCTCACCCGTCCCTCTGCATCCACACAAGGATGACTTCCAACCACCACTGTGGAAATGTGTGCTCTGCTTTGGACAGAGATCTCCCCCCCACTTGTCATTTTCGTCTCTCCTCGCCTCCACAGGAGCTATGAGCATCAGCAGCCAAACTCCTACCTAGAAAGGGCATCGCGGTCTCCCAGGCTTCCCCTCCAAGTCTCTGGATTCAGATCTGTGGGCATCAGCTCAGTGGAGGGAGGGGGTGAACACCCTGTCAGAGTGGCTGGGAATTGATCCTCAGGGACTATTGATTCCTCTTGCTCACTCTCCTTTACCCCCCCATTTCCCTGCAGAAGAACCTCATTAAGCAATAGGAGCAGGCTGCTGCCAGTTTAAAGTGGATAATTGCCTCCTCCCCCCGCCATCCGGCTCCATGCCAGGCCCATTTCTGTAATTGAGGGGGGGGGGCGGTTTATGAAGTAACAACTTTTCTGTTCTGAATACATACAACTGGCAAATTCCAAATAACCAGTAAGGTCTTCTAGATAGAAAGTGCTTTTCCTGCAGCTTGCTCATGTCTCTCTTCAAAACAAAATCCTTCTTTAAGCAGCAATGCCTGTAACTGGATGCTTGCTGTTGCGCGTGGCCAGACCACTGTCCACAAGGGACTGAGAACTGTCCTTCAGTGTGGCCACTTGCTGGGTGCTCTCCTCCAACTATACCATTACCATCCATGTAATTGTGCAGTCATTATTCTGTCTCATCTCTCACTCCCCCAACACACACACACACACACACGTATATACGCAGCTCGCACACACTGAAAACTGAGCACTCTGGCTCACATGCCTGCCTGAATTTAGTCAGGTCAGTCTGGGCAGGGGACAGCCTTTTCCCTTTTATATCTGGGGTTAAGATTATAAATGAACCAATCAGGTTTGAGCTGAATGGACCAATCAGGTTCAAGCTCTCCAGCTGTCAGTCCAGGGCTTGAATTTATTGGGAGGATTGAAAATGGATCCCAGTCGGACTGAAAACAGTCCTGTCAGGCTTGGTAGGGCAGGGACCTTTAAAGAAGATATCAGTGAGACAAAGAGCCGAGGCAGTGGTTCACACCCCCCCCACACACACACACAAATACCACATACACCACACAGACACACACACCACACACACACTACCACCAGGACCAAGGCTGTTGCAATGTAAATTTCATGTGTCAGATTTAGTTGCTGCCATTTTCTCACTGCCTAGAAGAGGGGCTAGCATGCCGTATGTTCTCAAAGCATGTTTTGAGTATTAGGAGATGTATTAGGAGATTATTAGGAGATGTATTAGGAGTATTAGGAGATTCTACACAGATCGCTCACATTTCTGCACATTTTGTAAACAGAGGCACTTTGTTAAGTGCCACCCTTGAGAGCCTTTGTTCTGGACTATGTATAGAAAACAGCTGTGGAAGACAGAGACAGTGTCTCACTCTCAAGCAAAGTGGAGGTTTGTTCAAAGCCTTGCAAGATAGAGATCCTGCCTCTCTTGGGACCCCAGGACAGGTGGACGGTGTGCTTCCTGTCCATTATAAAAGCTCTAAGCACTTGGTTCTACTTCTCTTCAGCCTCCCCTGCATTTGGCTGCAAGTGCCACCTAGACTCCCACATATCACCCATGGGTGGGTGTTTGTCCCCAGGGAACTGGAACTGCTAGGAGAAAATGTCTACCTGCTGGCTACTGCTTTTATTATAATGCACTCTGTGTGTGTAAGCCAGGAGAATTATTTTGCCCACATTCCTAAAGCTGTGAGCTAGCATCTTAGCTTCCAAGTAACATAAAATCTCAGACTCTCCAT